ACAAGAAAAAATCTCCGGATTGGGAAAATATGGGCCAACAAATTTAGCCAACCATTTTGGGGGGCGGTACTCGCAATATCACACTCACACATTGTCCTAAGATTTCCTGGGAGTTTTCATTTCGAAGAGGGCCACAATAAAGTTAGCCTAACTCTTTATACCTTTTCCCACCAAACCAAGTGAAGTGAAATAGAAAAACGCATAAATAAGCAACACAAAAAGCGAAATTTGGCAATAAACTGAGGGGGTGAAAAAGTTTCTAAGGGCAGACACCGAAATCGCTTGAGTTGCCATTTAATTTTTACATATTTCTGCTCAATTGTTGCATAATCAAGGCATTAAAAGAAACGCTTACACCATTTATCCTTTTCCCAAATTTTTTTCCCACTTTCCCCACGATTGCCTCCCCAATTGGCAACATCAAAGTCTGGCATAAATATTTCCCTTCGCCTTTTGTTTTGTTTGTGTATTCAGTTTTGTGTTACAGGTGATTGCATTTGCTTTCCGTTTGCTTCCCTCCTCTGTTTGTTTAGGTTACAATATATTGGCTTGCTGAGGCCAAGAAATGGGGAAACGGGTTGGGGCTTACTCGAGGGGCGGGCAAAAAGGAAAAGTCAGTGCGAAGTTTTCAGCGGAAAGGGTTACGCGGATTTGGCTGACAAATATTTGTAGGAAATATGAAAATTTAATGGTTTACGTGATGAATTTAACAACCAGTTTGCGGCCACCACTTGGTGATTTTTGGAGAAAACTGAGGCATTGGCTTAATCAAAATCGTATTTATTTTAATGAACAGTTTATATTTCAGTTGAATAACAAAATTATTCTTAAAAGTAGTTGTTGGCGGATATATAATTTATCTTTTATTTAAAATATATTATCTATTCTCGAATCAAATATATTTGCTTCCATTAGGTTCGAAATTTATTCACAGATATCGAGTGCACATTTCAAGGGCCTTTCGTGCTAAGTTGCCTTTCTCTCGTTTTGTAAAATCAATCTGCTTGTTACCTCGGCTCCTCTGGTAAACTCCCACATCAAATGGCTGTGTTAAAGTTAGCCATACATCACCTTGGCTTACTCCATTCCACAAATATATTGCCTTGGCCCACAGATGCAATCGAAATTAAACCCACAACGAAGAGTAAATAAATTTAACAAAATGGAATGCTGAAATTATTTCCTCAGGTCGTTCATACACACACCGGCACACCAACCAGCTTCGTAAAACGATAAATTGCTAGTGCAATGTTAGCAATTGCTGTTAGCCATTACGTATCCGCCGCGCTGCACCAAAACAAGCAGCAGCAGTGTAACAGCAGCATCGGAAAAAGCACACTTGATTGATGAAAAACCTTTGCGAAATGTCAATCCAACATAATTGAGTCATGTGCTGCCTGTCCCACCCACAAAAAAAAATATAAGTGTGTCCCGGCAAAGGGAAACGTGAAAAGTGGCAGCTGCAAATAAAAAGTGGCAGAGTGAAACGCGTGTGCGGGGTCGCCATGTTACGGGTATCAATGCACTTTCCGGTCGTATACTGTACCAGCCATCATTACCAGCGCCATACGTCGCGACAGCCGCAGCTTAAAGTCACTCAGGTGCAGTGGCCAAGGCGAAATTCAGATTACATTGCCTGCTGTTCAAATGCGCCAGCGATGCCCCAGTGACTCACGAGACATTTGAGGGGATTGTCTGATGCAAACGAATTGAAAACGAAGAACTTCTTTTCTTTTTGCTGTAGATAAACTGTATGTTTTACTATTCCCCATCTAGAAGTTTTTCCAAAACCCATAAAGTAAATCGAAAAAGTGTCATTTCAGTTTTATAAAAGTTAGGTACTTTTACCTACAATACAATAACATCATACTTTAGACAGTTTAGCTATGTTATTAATTATTCAAATCGATTGTTCCTTGCTGATGCAAATAAATATATAAAAGTTTATTATTATCTTTTGTACATTTAAGTAAGTATGGATGGGCAGTGCCGTCTCACGTTGCCATACCCATTCCAGAGCTGTAATGGCAAGAAAATTAATGCCGGCAAGTAAATGCTGCTGACTACAGTCCCTCGACGGCAAGCAGAACGATATACTTGACGATGATGATGGCAGGGCGATGGAACCAATGAAGGAAATCCAGGAGAGCCCCCTGCTCCATCGTCTACCTGCAATAGACCACAGAACAAGTGGCAGCCAAAGTCGTTTCAAGTAAGTGTGACAAAATATAAATCTTTGCCTCCACTTTGCTGAGTGTACCATATATGTGTGTGTGTATGGTGTGGATGTTCAGAAAAGTAACCTGAACACATAAGCTGCAGTTGGTCAGGACGCTCGTTAAACTGGACAGCCCTGATGGAGCAAGAGTTGCTGATGTTGCTGGTGTTGCAGCCGAAGGACCAACATCCTGGCGACCACATCAGCTGCAGCTGTTTACGACCTACGCCAAGAGAGTTCAGCTGAGGGCTCTCATTTGCGGCTGGTCGAGGGGATGTTTTTGGGGCACGGCACTTGTTACAACTCGACCACTTTCAGGGGTGGAAAATTCCCCGACTTTGTGGCCTCGGAAAAAATTTATATCGGGAAATGTAGCTCGAATTTAAAAAAAACGAAAACTTGGTGAAGGGCAAAGGCTTCTGCTTTTAGTACATCTTTCAAAATAAGATATAGAAACCAAGTTTCCTGATTTTTTCCTCTAAGCCTAATTTAAGAAAGGTTACCAAAAATGTCTGACTTATTAGGAATTTGACTGTATAGGCATTTAATAGAGAAACACTTTCTGTATAGTAGTAAGTTAGTGTGGTTTCTCCTTAAAAACACTTACCATATTTCACAATATCATACTTACAAACTTTCAACATAGCCTTTCAGTCATCACCGAACTTAGAATCAAACAATACTTTACTTTAAATACATCCGAGATGGCAAAAACAAGTATTTCTCCTCTGAGAACCAGATAAATAAATCCCATCCCAAGAGAGAAAGTCCCAGTATTTTGCAAATCCTCACAAATAATGTTTCTCTCTTATTTCTGCGCATGTCGGACTCCTCTCTCATGAATTCAAAAAACGAGCAACCTCAAATCAGTGGCTAGAATGTCGCTTTTGCTGGAGAAATGGTGCCACTCTCTTTGCTTTTTCTCAAATCACCTAACATCTCCCGTTTGGTGTGGCATGAAAGTAAAAACAAACCTGAGAGAAAAATCATACAAAAGCAACGGAACTAAAAGGACTTTCTTGCCAGCGATACAGCCCTTCGGAACCCACTCTCTAGCACATATGCCACCGACTTGGCCAGGACTCCAATGCATATGCTTGGCACACAAATACACGGGCATACAGCCGGGCCAGAAACAGAAATATGCAACGCAATCCCTTTAGGATTTGGCCAACTGTTTGCGCGCACTCTCAAAAACTTGAATGCACCTTAAATGCGGAAAATGTGGGGGAAATGCGGAAGATGGCAGACGGAAGACGAAAGAGGAAAGGCGGATTCAAGCCCAAAGCTCCCCTCGAACTTTGACAATCTAAGCAGTTTACTGTGTCAATATGTTACGTTTGCTGCTCGTCCCACAGCCAAACTTCGCATAACTTATGCATGCAAATTTCACCCATTTCACCCATTTCGCCCGCCTTCCGAAAAAGGTGAAAGACAAAAGCAACCAAATCGCACCAAATGCGGTTATTGCAGCGATTATTTTAATGGCTCTTCTCGGTTGTTTGATGCCACAGAACTTAACGTACTTATGCTGTGCATGATTTCTCTGTTTTTGTGGAGCTGCCAATGCAGATGTATTTAACACCTGCAAAAGTTTCGCCTTCGAAAAAGTCATTCATGGTGCATTTCCTGCAGTCGAGTCATTTGTTAGCCTCTTCTATGGAGTACAAGTTGGTTTCATTGGGCACAGCGATTTGAAATTCAAATTTTTAAGTTGCACCAAAATCGAAAAGTTTGCCAAGTCCCATCTAAGTGCTCGATGCGAAAGTTGCCGAACTAAAGTTTCAATGGAAAAATACTTTACGTCATGCAATTGATATATTTTCACTGCGAAATCGGTACAAGTCGAGGAACATTGGAATCGTTTTGAGCAGTTAATAAATATATCTTGTAGTTAAAAATATATTAAATTCATTTTCTTCACCGCAAAACTAAAAATGTTCAACAATCTTTCAAGATATTTTTCCACAAAATTAAACACAACAGAGCCAGGAAATATTTGCGACAATGGGATTCATAATTTACGCAAAAGTTCAGGCGCAACTGCTTACTCTTTTATTATAAATATTTTTTTAATTTACACTAAATATTGCAACGACGTCTGAGTCGACAGGAGCACAACAGGGGCGCAGATGCAGTTCCGCACTGCCACGCCCCCGGCCACTCCCACACCCAACGCCTCCGCGGAGTCGTCTGAGCTTGCTTATATTTTATTTGTGGCTAAAAATTGCATTCATGAATAATTCAGTGAAGTGAAAAATTTGGGGTTTCTTCGCCACGTCTCCATAGCTTTAGAAAAAATAAACTCTTTTTTCAGCAGCCACTTCCGTTTGTTCCGCTTCCCTTCCCTCCCTCCCTTCCTCATCGTCGCGTTTTGTAATGTGTGCGGGTTATCAGCATTTTGGGTTAATATTTAATGTAAATGACAGACCGACCACAGTGCGGCTGCGTTGATGAAGCCTCGGACACGGGAGATCCGGATACGGATGTGGATCCTGCCTGGATCCTGGAACTCAGACTCTCAGACCGTCCAAAAAGTTACTCTTTACGCTTTGCATAACATCCCAAAAAGGAGTGCCCAAAACTTGCAATGTAAATGAGGCGCCGGGAAACGGAAGCGGAAACTGTTTATGCAGATCGAATGTACCCAAAGAACACTCGGAATATTTCTGTCCCTCGATTTATGTTTCTGTTTTTGGCCTGCTCCTTTTGCTTCTTGACTTTGACTGTGCAAAATAAACTACCAACTATTCTATAAATTAAAATTGCAAAATTATTCCGTTTACTTTGCAGTCTGGGCGAACTTTGCGACATTTTCGCATTGCAATAAATGTTTCAGGTTGCAAATCTTTGTCTGTGAAATTTGTTTTTGTATTTTATCTTTATAGTAAGGGGGCCACAAGGTAGTATAAGACATCACTCTTTAAAGTAAATAATTTTATTCTGAAATCAATTTTAATACGCTTATATTACCTAACAAAATATGCTGCTTCCTGAGGTGTACTTTGATTTTTGATTAGTTTGGCGATTTCATTGTTCATCTGATTATTGTTTCGTACAGTATCTTCCTTGAAGCAGGCCTTGCAGGTGATGTCCCTCTGCCATTAGTTAATAATGAAGTAATCTATGAGGTAAGCAATAAAGTATTTACATGGAATCTTGCGTTTGGTTTAGCTGGGGTCTGCGAGACGGACATCGAGACATGGCCATCGTTCGGTAGGTATTTGAAGTACTTTGCATTTTTCTTTTCATCAAATCCCCCAATAAACTTCTTATCGACCTCGTGACGTTTTACATTCTTTTCCTAAAGAGATCGTTTGTCGTATAGTTGAATGGTATACATCTGAGTCTGTCTCCCAAATGCCATTCCAATGGTTGTTGAATAGCGCGTGGAAAATGCATTTTTATAACTTTAAAGACGATTTCTCATCGTTATTTTGATCGTCGGAAAAACGTCTGACGAATGGTTACCATTGCAAAAATCAAAGAAAACCAAACTAAGTTATTAGAAACAAAACTTGAAAGTGTGTAATCTGTGCTGTGTTGCTACTAAGTGATGTCAAGAAAAGGTTGTGTTGATGTCAAATGGAAGGTATTCTGAAAATTAATTTCTAAGATATTATCGGTGTCTTTTTACTAACAAAAACCCATTTCCTACCATGAATTGCATTCCCTTTCCTTTACTACAATCTAAACAAAACTCTACGATATACCAAACGTATTCAATCTTATGTATATATCAATGTATATGTTACAAAATCAATAATCTTATGGGAACCATAATGAAATTATCAACTATAAGGCATATAACCCTGCCGCCATTTTCTCGCGATTTATCCAATGGCGCCTGGCTTGCCACCCCCTCAACACCCAGTAGCAACCTCCTCCAACCCACTATAAAGAATCCTTGAAGAAGGAAGAGGAGAAGCCTCCAGGCTCAACATTCAACATACTTTGTGCGTTAAAAATATGTAAAATATTTTAACCGAAAACCTTTTCAAAAGATTGCAGAGCTGGCGGAGCTGTTCGTGTGTGCATACTTGGCGTATGCGTGATGATATTAAGCGGCCCAAAAGTCAGTTGTATGTGTGTGGGTGGGTGGCAGTGTCTGTGAGTCGGCTCGATAGCATTGATTTTACTCCCAATAATTTCGAAGAAAGCCCACAAAGAAAGCATTGAAAGTTTCCCGCTGTGGAGGCAAGTTTGCGTGCAATTTAAGGTTAATTTATTTGGAGTGGGTATGAAATGGAAAGACACCGTTTCAGCAACGCATGGCAACCGTACTTTTATGATTTCATATTATTAAAAAAACATAATTATTATGAGCAAGTATTTATGCAAGCGCAAATAATGTTGATAGCCTGTAATTACAGGTTTTTTTCCCTTTCAACACAACCGTTTGATTTTGTCGTTCTCTGACTATTTACCACAAATTATTTGTCCCAACTTAACTTATCCTCTCATTGACTCTGTTAAATTATAATTTAATTAAGCTTTTACTAAAATAGCACTCACTGCTCGCAGTTCCAATTTCTATTCCGCTTTCATAGAATCTACGACCCTGTCCCATGCCCCAATCCGAATTTATGGCTTTAATCTTTTGGCTGGGAATTATACTCGCACTTTTTTCCCCCTCTATTCAGAGTAGGCTTTATGGCTCAAGGACGTGGCGCTTCAAGGACTGAATTTGGATTTGTGTTTTCATTATGAGCTCGAAGGAGGTCTGCTCCCGAAAGTGGGCGGCCACTAAGCTGCATTCCTTTTAGCCAAAAACGGAATGGGGCAACATGCTGGCAAAAAGCAAAACAGAAAAAAACACAGTAAATAAATCAAATTAAATGAAATAAAATAGTTGAGGATTTGGGGGAGCTGAAAGAGGAATTCAGCTGCCACTTCTCTAAATGTTTATTCTTCCCTTATATATGTTCCCGAGCTGATGGGTATAAACCCATATCCTATAAATATCGTTCGTTATATCTAAAATCGTTGACATTTCTCCAAGTTCATTTATTTTTTTGTTGGGAAATAGATTTAAGATATCCAAAGTATATATATGAATTAAAAAGAAAAAATATGTTACACCTTTAGTTCATGACTAAAAATTCTTTTAATTGACATTTTTAGGCTAAATATGATTGATATATTCAAGTATTGGCCTTAAAGTTAATGCAGTGGCATGCACCGTATTTAACACGATAACATGCCTTTTTCGCCAGCACTTATCCTTAAATGGTGCCAGAAGAGGGCCAAATGCACCGCCCGGACAAACACACGGCCCGATCAGCCACGTGGCCCACATCCAGTGCAATTCTCCGCCAATCGCCCGGCAATTCATATCCTGGCCCAGCACAAACACAAACACAATCGCAATCGGCACCACACACACACACATCCTGCCTGCAACAACGACAACGAGCTGCCCCGGCGGGCAGAAAACACAGCGCAAAACCCACTCGAGAATATTAAACAAAATGTCAATTTGGTGCTACAATTTTGGGGCTGGGAAGCCCGAGTGCAGCGGGCCTCAAGGACCTGTCAAAAAATGGGCAAAAATCAAATCAAATTGCACACTTAAGCTGCAATTGCAGCGGTATCGAGAGAAATCAAAGTCCGCTGCCAGCACAGGGCGCCCAATCAAAATGGAAATAGTTTGGCCCGACCATCGAATGACCAGTTTTTCTTTTCTTTTCTTTTTTGTAGGACTTCCCAACCTGCTCAGCCCGGGGAAGGAGGAAAAGCAGCTAGAAGCAAGGCCGAACCAAGGCAAAACGGAAATGAAATCAAGCAAATTGAATGCGATGAGTTGGACGTGGGAATACGTGCCAACCGTTGTCATAACAGCCGTGACGATAAAAAACACTCCAGATCAACGGTAATTGCTGCCGACAAACTCGCATCTATCTGCGATACAAGCACCAGCATCCATGGGAGGCCGAAGGTCGCAAAGAAGGAACACGCGCCGCCGCCAGCGAATCTGAATCCGAATCCCAGTACCAGCACAAGTCCAAGCCAAAATCCATAACATAGCCACCAACAATGCGTGCCAAAGCCATGCGAACATTTCAAGACATCCGACCAACATCCGCTTCTAGGGGTACATGTTAAAAAAAAATTCTTATTTTTTCTTTTTTCCTTTCGACGACTTTTCCAAAATGTCTGGTAAATGCACTTTTGTTAACTTTCAATAAGCTTTTTCATCAAGCTTTTTAAATGAAATTGTTGAAAAGAAGATTAAACAATTTGTTTCATTAGAAAGAGGACATATTTGGTATATGAGTTTGATAGTTTATCTTAATGAAGACTTTTATAATTATAAAATTAAAAAATATATATTTTCAAATACTTGCCCTTGATATCCTCCTTTTTCCCTGTGCACTCCTTAAGCAAAAGTTGCTGCGACATGTCATCGGGAAGCCTCCTGGACAAATGGTCTTCCCCATTCGGCGTATCCACTGTCCCATTCTCGATGCCAATCCCATTCCCATTCCCATTCCCATTCGAAGTCCCAACAGACGAGGCTTTGGCCCCGACAATTGACATTTGGCCACCCATCGCAGTCGCCTTCGCTGCCATTTCCCCATCCATTTGCGTGGGTGAATGGGTGCTTTAGTGGGTGGGCCATTGGGTGATTGGGAGTGAGGATGTAGATCAGGGTGGCTTGTTGTCGCGTTTTGGCCGCTTCCGCTGCCGTTGCCACCTGCTCTTGTCCATCGCCATTCATCAACATCAGAGCTGAAATTAGAAATGTTTTGCGTTTGGCTTCCGGCAGGACTCAGCCGCAGCTCTACTCGTAGGACTCGAAAACCAGCTAGGAGCTAGCAGGAGCCAGGAGGAACGACATCATCGACAGGAACCAAGCCGTCGACATAGTTTCATGCCATTTGGACAGCTTTTGGCGATGGGGCTGCGCTAATGTCGCGTTGTTGCCGTTTTCTGATTTGTTTACCTTTCCAATTGAATTCGTGTCGCGAACGACGCCCCATTTCAATTACACTTGACACCAAAGTGGGAAATTTTACTGGTATTCCATAATAATTATTTTCTTTTAATTTTAACGGAAGGCTTTTGTTACTTAACTCAGTTAGTCAATGCTATTTCTGAGTCCAAATAAGAAATAAGTTAGTTAAAGATGTTTAAATATTTTTGAATAAATTAAGAAATTTATAATTAAATCTATTAAATGTCTTTAATTTACTTAGGAAGCTTTTTATTGTTATAACCAATTTGAATTCCTAATCTGTGTAGTGCTCTCATTCCCTACCCTTAATGCATAGTGTACACAGCAAACTGGGCAGAGCCAGGCACTTCACCTGAGGACGTGCAAGAAATTCGGCAATAGATAACTACAATCCATTAACGGCGGTTTGACGGTGTGTGCTTCCATCTATTTTCCACCATTGCCCAATGGCAAATGAGAAAGCCGCCCAGACTATTTATGGTTTAAAGAGTTTAATGCCAAAATCAAACAACGTATGTGTTCTGACCGAAAACAAAGACGTGATTTTTTCCTAGCCGCAGCAGAATCTTTCAGGCTAATACAGACGTGCCATCTGCACAATGAGTGGCACCAGAATTTACTGCGATTTCTCTATTAGGCCAAGTGAGTCCAATTTTTCTCGGTTGGAGTACTCACTCGTACTCACATTCTGACTGCCTGGGCTTAGGTGCCCAATCGACTGGGTTGATGCTGACGATTACGGCTGATTTTTACGACAATTTGTCTGGATGTGCCCGCATCTAAATGGGGATATTCCTCCGCCCGCCTTCGGAGGTCAAGGACTCGGCATTGCCTTGCCCTGCCGCCGCCCGTCCCAAAAGGCAACAATGTAAAAGACCCTCAAGGACACAATCGAAATGGCTTAAAACTTTTCCAGAAGCTGCGCGAAATAAAGCAGCGAATATTTCAATAAATAAGGCGGATTTTGAAAGGGATATTGGAGGCAACTCCCTCTGATATCGGGTGATCAGGGATATACCAGCATATGGAAACTGTTGCTGCAAACGGCAATAAATAGCGGAAGTAACGTTGTGTGAGCTATGCTTGAATTTATTGCCGTTGCCATAAAATATTTGAGATTTTTATGTGCAGGCAGCAAGGTGAATGGGTTCGGGGCGGCTATTCCCATTCCGAGGGATCAGACTCCTCAGGATGTCTGGAGGTCTAGCAAGTTTTGTTTGAGGACTTTTCATTCCAAATAAGGTTGAAAAATCCATTATCCTGGTATTGGCGGGAAATCATAACTTTCTGGTTCGTTGTACATTATGAGAGAAAAGTATGATGAAAAACTAAATACATTTAAAGTCAGGTTTCTATATAAATGTTTTATAATTTTTTGTTTTATTATAAGACATTATAAATTAATGAACATATTAATGATATTTTTAAAGATACTTTGGAAAAAAAATTTAATTCTTAATAATCTAACAATAACTATATTTAGCCGACTTCGAAATCAGTAACACTGAAAGTGTAAGTGTACTTACTTAAACACCCTTGCTAGTACAAGAACCAAGTCAGCTGTAATTTTGAAGTAAACTTCAGGCCCTCATCAATCAGTGAGCTTATTTAAGGGCTAAGTACTCTGACGGAAAGTGTGCCATGCACATACCGTGCCCGCCGAATCAAAGGCCGGCTAAACTGAGGCCCATTTAGGCCGAACAATTCCAACGGCGGGACGAACTACCAACACAAAGCCCGGCGTTCCGGGTCTGGTTTAAATAAACATGCGAACTGAACATAAAGGGCCAAAGCGTCGGCACTAAAACCAGCAAAATCAGGTGAATGAGCACTTTAAGTCTTTGTTTCGCCGAATCGAAACGAATCGAGTCGAATCGAAATGAAACAGCAAACAAAGCCGGCTGACAGGCTGGAAAAGTAGCAGCCGGCGGTGCCAACAAAAGCTAGCTTGCTGGCGTTTTAATAGGATTACAACAACAAAAGCAATTGGCCAAGGCAACAACACTACTAAACAACAACAAAAGCGCAATGCGAAAGTTAGTGAAACGGAAGCCAACCGCCGCTGCGGTAACTTCCCCCCCTGAACATCATTCCCCCATCCACCCATCCGCCAGCAGTTGTTGTATTCTGTTACCTGTTAGCCAATTGTTCTACCGACTGCTCCTCCAGTTCCTAGTTGCTAGTTGCTCCCTGTCAGTCCAGCCGCTTGTTTGGGTTTTGTCATTTCCATAGCCAACTGTCAATGGGGGGCACAAAACTGCCACCGGACTGGGAAATGGCCGGGGAAGGAGATCCACAACAATTAGGAGTGCCCATCAAAACTGATGCCGAATGCCAAAATATTTGGTAACTTTGAGGGCAAGCTTAATTCAATTAATTTGAATTTCCCTTGAAAGGTTGAGTGTGCATTTTAATTCAATAAAAGCGGTTCAAAGTTGAAAGTTTTCCTAAAATAACCCAAAGAGAATATTATTGCGTACACTTTACAGGTAATAATAAATGTTTTCGACTTCAGGGATAACTCTGCTGAAACGTAATTTGGAAATGTTTGTCAAAAATGAAAGTTCAAAATGAAATATGAAACTCAAAATGATAAAAAGGCATCTGTCAATCAAATCCAAATCCGTAGCCAAAACTTAGTAATCTGCCCTCGCGTAAGTGAAATTTTCAATCTAAGTGGAGGCAATTGGTCAACAACTTGGCCCAGTTGTAGTCCATACAGCTGGCCTTCCTCTAGCTGCATTGCTTTGTTCGCCTGTGAATTTGAATGCTCCACGGAAACGGATGTGTTGATTGTTAGCTTTTGGGAGGAGTCCACCAGCAGGACGACGTCCTTGCATTGTTGGCACAACAGCGCTGCTGTTAACTGGGGAGCTATGACGTTGCACAGTAAGAAAAAGAATTATAAAAAGGAATACAAGATGGCCTATCTTTCCTTAATAGTTAATAATTTTGGGTAATTTTAAGTCTTCTAAGTTTTTTTTTTATTATCTAAGAGAATATTACATACATCTTTTAATATTAAACTTCTGGCAACAACTTTGTCCTCTGTATGGGAACCGGTCACTGGTCACTGGTCGCCGAGTAGTGAGCTTTGGTCATCGGACCCGGGGCAATCAACTGGGCCAGTTGTCATCCGCAGATGATGATGACGATAATGAGCTAAGGCCTGATCATGGTTTACTGACACGTAATGACAGCTAAACTTTCAACACTCGACAGTTACATTGCCAGAACGTCGAGGGTTGAGGACATGAGACGGGAGTCTGCAATTGCCGGGGTGGCCGTCATTAAAATCGCTATTTGGCTATTCGGATGAGATGTAGTTTGACAGAGATGACATCTAATATTTTTAAAATATTTCAAAAAGAACTAACTATTTATAAATAACTAGCTATAACTATGTATTTTTAAGTAATTTAGTTTAAGTAAAAATTGTTCCATTTTGTTTCTATTTCCGCTGTTTCAATACAATGCAAAATTAAGTTGAAGAAAGCGCAGGATTATGTTGAAGATCGGAGAACAGTCACACTGCGATTGAAGGGAGCGAGAACTTCTCGCCGAGAAGATGTGGCAATATTAGCGAGAAGTAAAAGTTAAGAAGAAATAAAAAGATATTGGGAACATAATATTAATAATATTTGTATAGATAAGATATAATATAAGAAAAGCAAAGCAGTGAAATACTTTTAAAAGTACTATACTCAATATTACCTCTCTTGGCTACAAATAAGCCAAAATGCCATCATTCGTCTGATATAGAGGCATCGGCAGTAGGAGCACCAAATGAGTCGTGCAGGTCGGCTTTTGTCAGTCGTAACTGTAAATGCGTGACTTTTGGCCATTTAATGATGTTTCAACGTCATTGTGCACAAATAAACAATCATCATCATCCGCACCACGAGGAGCACAAGGAGGAGAACGAAGCCGGAGGACGAGGAGGATGAGGATGAGGTTTTGTCCTGGCTCATTTGATGACATGGCCTTTCAATGGCGCTGGTTATTAATGCGCCTGTTTGCTCCCTCGGCCAACAATAACGCATTTAAAACAACAATAACACAATGAGCCAGTAATAGCCATGAACTGGTCTCAAATCCCAGTTACATCCAAGGACTAACGAGGACGATTAGGCATCAGGAGCACTGGAACTTTACCCAAATTTCCGTGGGTGGGCTTGTCAGTTCAGGAAAGACTTATTATTTGTATGGCTAATAAGTTGCTGACACTTTTTGGAAAAGAAGCTCTCTTGGGATTCTCTTGCATTAATACATTTATTTTAAAGAGAAGTGAAAGCCATAGCTCAACTTATTTATCAAATTTTATTAATGTTTTTTAAAATTCAAATTAATAGAAAGTGAAATTCTTTAATATAGGTTGCTTACTTAAAGAACTTCAAACAAAACTAATAAGACAAAGAAATATTAAATAGTTTCGTATTGTATTTAATTAAAATGTTAATTTTATTACAGGGCTATCACTTGTTTTTAATTACATTCACATTCAGTAAGACAAAAAAGCACGTTGACATGTTCATGGCACAAAGGCTTTCCTCTTCCGTGTGTGCCGCATGATTTATGCTTTATTTTTGCTAGTAATTCATATTAATAAATAAAA